TTAGATAAGCAGATATTTGTTTCTTTATTATTTCGATTAAAAATCACACAAAAAATTATCCCATGTAACTTGAAAGAAAGCTAAACTAATTGGTCGTAAATGCGAACAGAGTGTATTGAAAAAATCAAATGTACGAAAAGTACGTTTTTCCAGACTAACACTAAAAATACAAACAAAGAACAATAATATTAACAGATTCTATTCATTAATAACAGTTAGTTTTGTATAAATAAATAAAAGCCTATTGAGAATGATTCATAAATTATCTTAATCTTCTAAAAAAAGAACTGTAATTGATTTTTCAATATAAATGTACCTGTTTCCAGGAAGTGATCCATATAATCCAGAAAAATTAATTGGTCCATTTTTATGTTTATATAATAAGAATACACATCGATGCCATCCACTACCATTAGGAGGAAATGGAGGTAAATATGTACATAGAGTTTCACCTTTATCAATTTGATTATCAGGAATGTTTCCTCTTAAATAAATAATATATATAGATAGATAGATAGAATATAAATTAAATGTATTCATTAACATACACAAACCAATGAAGAACTTCAGCATCATTTTCTTTTAAATGTCCATCAAGATTTGTAAATATTAATGTATAATATTCATTTTCTTTATTTGTACTTTTCCATTCAACTTGAGGTTTTTCACTTGCCTAAAAATATTTGAAGAAAAACCTATTATTTAGCTTCAAATAATTAATTTACATCTTTTGCATAAAGTCGATTTCCACTATAAACAGGTGTAACTTGATCATTACTATAGGGATAATTGATATGTAACGGTATACGAGGAATAAAATAACCATGTTTGAATAAATCATTGAAAAGACCATAATGATCAGCAGTCATGCGAAGATTTTCTGAAAAATATCTACTTGACAACCAATCATTATGAACTTCATCGATTGGAAGTCGAACTTAAGAAAAAACAAATAGATGAATAATAAATTCTAACATATTTCTTTTTTATAACACATACGAGCACCATCGTAATGTAATTTTTTTAAATCAGCTCGGTTACGTTGACTAGCATAATGTTCAAAGCGTTTACGAGTTTCTGATTTAGAAACAGGATCTATTGGTGATAAAAAACCAATATTTACTTTATCGACACGTATTGGTTGAGGATCAAATTCTATAATGAAGATAGAACAAAAATCAAATTTGAAAAAGTTATCAATTTAATTTAAAGTTTATTTTACCATGACGTCGTTCTTCCAATGTTTTTAGTTGCATATCTTTTGTATAAACTTCATCATGTGTGACTTCAAATTGTGTTTTATTTCTATATGGAAATCTTTTTCTCCATATAGCTGTTGTATAGGGCATTGGATCAGGCATTGGTATAACACGATGATGACGTATACTTTCCAGTTGAATATTCCATACCAATTTTAATAGATTTTTTCTTATTATAATTGACATCTGAAATGCAAAATGGGATAATTTTTTGTGTGATTTTTAATCGAAATAATAAAGAAACAAATATCTGCTTATCTAAAACTGAATGTTAGGCTACAATCAATTGGAAATATAAGAACTTTTCTCACACTTTTCACAAGCTAAATATGAATGAAATGGAAAAATAGAATGGACATAATTAGTTTTTAGAAATTGCATCTGGATGTTTATAACGATAATGCGCAATACGTATTAATTGTTGAAGACCAGTTAAACCAAGAGCAAAATTGACCAGACCAAGAAAATAATTTTTCGGTATTATAACCATGCAATACTAAAAAAAAAGAAGAATAGACAAAAGAAATTCTGACAGAAAATCTAATGAAAACATACTCGAGACCAGATTAGTCCTGTAGCAGCTAGTGAAATTGATTGATTCAATGAAAGTTTATCAGCTGGACGCATTAAATCTCCAATACCAGCAAGAACTAAAGAGCTTTTCATAACAGCTAGAAACAAATACAATCAATATATAAATTAACAGACATAGAATGGATACTTACGCGACCAAAAATGTACATATTTTGGACCGGCTAGAATAGATATAAAATAAACAAAGATTGTTGATGAAAAATTACTTTACCAGGATGATCCCATTTAACAACTTTTTTCATTGATGGCGACAAAACTCGTTCGCCAATACCGATGAGCATTCGATATACATCCGATAGAATGAACATAGTTGGTCAATCTGAAATTCACTACATACTGTGAAATTGAAAAAAAAATAAATAATAAGAAAAAAGACAATATTTTGATTAAACTTTGCTAAAAATAGCTTGACTAAAATTATTACACAGTTTAAATAAGAGAATATTTATCAGTTTTAGTTGAGTGACTGTCATATTGATCTTTTTTGTCTGAGTTTTCTTTTTTTAATTTTTATGTGGTGCATCCGGATGTGTATGCCGATAATAAGCAATACGAGCAATTTGTTGTCCACCAACAAATGCTAAAAAAATATTCACAGCAAAAAGCATATAATTTTTTGGTATGATGACCATTGAATATCGACTCCAAATAGCACCAGTAGCAAATAAAGAGATCGATTGATTCAGTGAAAGTTTATTAGCCGGACGAAGCATATCACCAAAACCAGCTACAACTAATGACCATTTCATTAGTGGAGCCCAAAAATGTATATATTTCATTCCTGCAGGATGATCCCTATTGATTAAAAATTTTTTTTTTAAATCAAATAAAATAACTAATAAATACTCATCTACCATTTAACAATCTAAATTCAATAAAACAAAATACAGCTACATTTCTACTCAAAAAAATACTTTACTTCAAAATACCTTTTTCATGCCCGGTGTTAAGACTCGATCACCAACACCAATCGCAACACGATAAAAATCCGACAGTATGAACATTATTCTTTATCCTATCTAAATGAGAAAAAAAGTGTCCTTATTATTATTCTTTTGACTTTTTTTTTGTTCAGCAAGATGAAAGAAATTTTTATAGACAATTCCACATCATAGACACAGTATAATTATAATTCTCAATATCTTGAATACAATGAAAGAAAAAGAAGAACAAAACTAAAAAATATCGAGTAGAATCAATAAAAGCCAACTAAATCTTCTTCAATTATATTCTATTCTTATGATACCCAATTTACAATGTAACGAAGAAAAAGGACGGTGACATATGCACGTACAACATTAAACAAAAGAAAACAACAAATAAACAAATGACTTTCGTAAAAAAACGCATACGTAAACATATAGATGTATCTCTCATTGGTTTTTTCTTAGAAATAAGTTATTGCACTTGTAAAAGAAAGTGGAAAAAAAAAACATAAAGATAAACATTATCAAAATGATTCTTTCAAAAGAAAGAACACCGTATATTTCACTTAAGTATATTAATATAAAAATAGGAATAGAAGTGAAAATCACTGTATTTTTTATTCGACAGGAAAACGAAAAGAAAAAAATAGTAATATTAACTAAAACCAGGTGGCGGCAAACCAACATCGATCAAAAGATGTGTAAATAATGGATAAGCTATTGCAGACGTGAGATTATATCGAGCTGATGACACACCATCCCATGTATAACGTTTAGCTGCTGAATAAAGTAATTTTGCCCTAAAAGAAAAACAATAATTATTAAATATGAAAAGACATCACTTATACATACCGTTTATTCCATATCGATGGTACTCGTTTGGTATGTGGTAACATTTTATATCGAGCTATTGTCGCTGGTGGACGAATTACCTTTATAGATAATTCTTTTAATCTAAAGAGCAAAAACTTATTTTTTCAATTGAAATAGTATTTCTTTTTACCGATAATAAAGATCATCATCTTCCGCTCCCCAACCCCAATAGAGATTACTATAACCATTAACTGTTAAAAAATGATCAGGACGTATATTAAATACCCCGCCAATAAGTTCTTCATAAGTTAATCTACCAAACAAAATATTAATCATATAAAAACTCTTTATTATTTTTCTTCTTACTTATAATTCATTTCATCAACAGCAACAGACATATGTCTTGGAAAAACTGGACATGAATACATATTACGATCATCTTCTGGTATTAAATCAACATCATGAAAGACAAAACATTGAAAATCATATTCACTAGATGCATATATAAAAGCAGCATTCATTAATACAGCTTTATTATATGTTCCATTTCCTGTTTGTTCCGAAACATAAATTTTATAATCAAGTTCTTGTCGTTGTAATATTGGATGTAAATAATAAAGTAATGTTACTAAATGTTCATATCGATCTCGATATGGAATAATGATTGCTACCTATTTAAACAAAAAAAATTGTCATTTTTTTGCAAAATAATTATTGATAATTTGTTATTTTTTTTGTTTAATACTTAATAAGGATTAAATTAAAAAAAAATCAAATAACAGCAGCGATCCTTTTGACGTGAAACTTACTGAACTTTAATTTCTATCGGAAATGTCCTATGAGAAAATGATTTATTTTCAAGACAAACAATCTTTTAATATCATGCAAATCGTCTCATAATTTACCCTATGACGAGCAATACAATGAGATGGAGACCATTGCCCTCCAGATCTAACATTGGTATAATTAGTTTCTATTTCATATAATGATACATTAGGAAAAGTTGAATTTTCATCAAGATATCGACCATCTAGAATAAGGATAAAAATAAAATATTTATTTTTCTTTGTTTTTTTCTCAAACTTACAAAGATAACGAGGTTCTTCTTGACAATAATTTCTTTTTCGTTTATTATCATTATTATTTGTATAATTATTTTTTGTTTCTCGATATTTCCAATGTAAATTTTCGTCTTCATCAACTAATGCAGCTAAACGATTTTGTACACGTTTTAAATTATTCATTAAATGATCACTATTATTTTCTTGTAATAATAATTCATCGGATTTATTTAATAATGGTTTTAGTAATTGTTTAATAGTTATATTTGTTTTTATTTGATCGAAATTTTTATTTACTTGATTATTTATAATTAAATCTGAATCATTATTAAATGAATCAAATAATAATTCAAATCGATAAAGATATGTTTGAATTTGAAATAGAAGACGCCACTTGTCTATAGGTAAAACATTATCACGTAAAAGAGCTTCCATACTTTCATCCATTTGTTTAAGTTCATCTTGAATTTTTTGCATTGCTGAAAAATTAGCTCCATAACGTGATGTATGAACAACAAGAATTTGTGATAATGAAATAACAAGAAGAAATAGAAAAAATAGTAAAATAAGTATTGACGAAATGTCACGACTAAGTAAATTAGATGATACTGGTTCATGATTATAACGATATAATCGATGATTAGAACGTGATGACTCTTGATCTTGATCATGAGATGATGATGATGTTAAAATTGGATGATGCCTACCGTAAGCGTATAACATTCGTTGAATATTTATGATATAATATCGTTCTCTTTTTTTTTTTTTTATACTAGAATGATTCTCATCGTTCGATATTGTTGATATAAATTTAATTAAAAGTGACTATGAAATAATACTACTGTTGACAATCTAAAAATAGAATAGAATAAATGTGATATTTTGTTTCAATTTCAATATTTTTAATCTGATACAAATACAGACAAAGACTATTAAATGATAAACATTATTTTTCTTATTATACACTCCTACTCGTCTTGTTTTGTTCTTTCTGTTACAATAACTTTTAAATAACCTTTCTACATATATTCTCTTTCATTCTTTACTAATTAATTGCGTAGATGGATTTTTATAATTACCTTTGTGATGCACTATAAAGAAGATATTAAACAATAGTGAACTTCAAGAAAACGGCACATGACAAACACAAAAAAACAAGAAGGATTCAGATGAATATTCATAACACTGTTGTAGTTTTATTGATAGTGATGTTCTTTTTCACATCTAATTCTCTTCTTCGGTTTTTTTTCTTCTTCTTGTTCTTCTTTTTCTTATCTTTGACAACTTGTTCTTTTTTTTCTCTAAGAGAACGAACGTTTCGGCTCATTCTTTTTGTAAAAATTAAACAAGTACGGGAGGAGGAGGCGGGGGGGGGGGGAGAGAAAGTTTTGTATGATAACAAAAACAAAAAAATAGTTTTTTATAATCAGGGAAAGGTTTTTCGTACAGCTGTACTAAAGTAACAAGAGTCTCGTTTATGAAACACAAGTTGTCAATATGATGACAATTACATATCGATCGAAACTAGATTTATAACATTATCGATTAGAGACACAAGAAAAAAGAACAAAGAAAGTCAGAGAAATTTATTTTGCGCATATGATTAATCAATAATGCCCATAAAATAAAGACAGAATCAATTTAGATCAAAAAAAGAAATCAATTCTATTGCCAAACTATTTCATTATTTGTAACAAAAGAAAAATTAATTAAATAAAGAATAACAAAAAAAAAAAGTTACCCTATGATAAATATATAGCGATGAGGAAATGATCAAAAAAAGAAAGAAAAAAAGTAACAATAACATAAAGTCATAATAATAATAATAATTGTCATAACAGTGAGATGAAGGAAAATCTCACTTGAATATTTCTTTATTTTTGTTTTTTTTGTGCTACATAACTTGTTGTCGATCCCATTGTATTTCCGTAAGTAGTAGTTGAAATATGATTGATGTAATAAAGAGCGATTAATGAAAAGATCATGCTAGAATAAAGATGAGTATTATTTTAAATATAGATAAAAGTATATAAATTGATAATGAGGAATAAGAGGTTTCTTTTTACTTAGAAGTTTTGTGCACTGCAATGACATTATGCATAGTATAGTGTTATTTTCAAAACCATTAATCAATATTTTGACCTTCAAAGTCATCTGGGAATTGAATGATAAGATTTTTTTTTTCTTAATCTAATTTTTACATGTAGTCTTACAGTAGGGAAATATCATAAAACAAACTGATTGTCTAATCTTAGTTCTTTTCTTTGTTTTTAATACTAAATACTTATTTGAGATTTAAATTGTTGTTATATATTATTCATTAAAGAAGAAAATAAATGTATATTAAACGTGTTATAAAATTACGTAGTATATAAAGATGTAGAATTGAACTGATTAATAAATGAATGAAAAGTAAACTAGTGAAAATATGACCAATTTATATTATTAATTAAGACAGCTATGGTATGCATTTGTAGTCAACGTATGTTTCTATGAAATGTGAATGCATTTTCTTACAACGTGAAATAGTTTTATAATTGTACTGGAAACTTTTTTGAATTCCACGCATTCCAATCGTACAAGTAAAATACCTAATAATATTTTAAAGAAGACTAAGCTTTGTAATTAGTTGTTATTCGGCTTTGTGTTCCTATGATTTTATTCTATTCTGTTCATATTCTATACCAGAAAACAACGTATTATGGTATAAAGCATACAGAAGCTTGAATTCTCTGTTTAAAAGTGACATACGACTTTTCTGCAGGTAATGCATTTACATTTTGACAGCTTTTAATCGCTATTTATTCCAAACGATGAAGCGTAGCGATTCGGAATTCGATGCATGTTCAAAGTTCATTAAGATCTTTGAAATTTCATCTCAATTGACTTCAAGGTTCTCATTTATTAAGATAAGTACATGTTGGTAACGCATTCACACAAAAGACTCATTTTTTGTCGCCAATATTAGAAATATTAAGTTTCTTGCGAACAATCAGTTTGTAAAAAATTGAGAGATCGAGAACAAGCTTGTAGTGGGGAGTTAGAGCTATCTGCTCGAAAAAGACGTTCTCAAAAATATTGTATTTCTTAGTCAAAATACTTTAGTAACTCACTCACACATGTTATATGCACGTATCATCATTGAGAGTATTAGTCGACTAATTACGAATTGTCAAGATCTGGCAGATTAGTCTACATATCCAACTTTCAGTTTTGGACTCTTCCACAGTAGAGATCGTCGGGTAGGTTTCGAATCCGATCGGAATCGATTTTGGATGTCAAAGATTTTCTATCTGTCGAGTTGGACTCTAGATCTGGAAATTTTCACTTGACCGAAACCTAATCCTGGTTCAAGACCGACCACTCGAAAAAAAAAGTCAATTTTAATATGATTTTCATAATACAATCATCGAGCTTGTCTGAAAAACGTGTTTAGAACACTTGTCGATGAATACAAACAATTGAGAAAAATAGCTTTTATCTTCGGAACAACTATCAAATGCAGACAGAAAAGTTTCATTCAGAGCATCAAAATCATGATGCACGTTAAGATCTGTTTAGAAAATTAAAACAACCTGGATAGAGTATGAAAATTGTGGGCTGAACGGTCTCTATTGAAGAAAACTATGTCAGAATAATACAAGGTAACTAAATAGTTTATTAGTATCCTTGAAGATAGGCAACTCTAATGAATAAACTGAGAGCTTTGTACTATCGGAACAATCGATCTTATCAGACATAGAATTTACAACTGAAAATATGGTGATGAGTATGGTGTGTGTGTTACTTACTTTTTTGTCAGCGTAAGCATATAAATGAAAATTAAATCTACTGTTTTGACAACCTATCAAAAGTTAGACAAGGTGTCTTAGTTTCCATTAGAGTGTTTTTGTAGCTATCATGTAAAATAAATTAAAAGCTCTATTTGTTGACGTACTTCACTTCAGGTTTGATAAACTTTTCAGATATCCTCGGTTTCCTTCTATCAGACGAGATTGCGATAAAAAAAATGAATCAGAAAAATACCTTAATTTAGTAGAATCAAAATGTGCATAGCACCTTAAATATGAATTTTTTTTTTCATCTTTTAAAAACATTTTCTTCAATAACATAAAAAACTGATAAGTTACGCGCACATATTTTTTCTCACATAGGTTTTCTCTGGACCAACGGCAAAATAAACTATGTTTTCTCATAGAATAGAATGTGTTTTACAAGATGACATGGTTAGTTTTTGAAAATAATTAACTTCTACTTTAATCATTCTGATTAATTTTTAAGCGGATAAATCATGTACGAAGTCCTCTCGAACATTAATTACTGGTAAAATTTTAATATAAATATATTCAATAAAAATAATGTAAACTTACCAAGTTGTTACGCAAACTCGATGAACAAATGCACAACATATCATAGAAGTAAATAAACAAATCACAACTAAAATATATTATTTTATTAGAAAATAATCTCGATGAAAACAAAAAAAATAATTCTCACCTTCAGGAAAAACTCGTGCTTGAAAATTTGGTCCAAATAAATTCATTTCAAAATTACTCACAGCCTTAAAAAAAAATTTCATAGAAAAAACCTAGTATTTCATTGTTTTATTCTAATACCGTTAAGAGCGATACAAAAACTAATGAACCCATAAATCCACCAGCAATTGTTAATGGTTGACTTGATGAAAGTTGTGTACGAAATAATTGCATTGATGCAAATAACACAAGAGCAATAAGAAGTGAGAAAAGAAATGATGATGAATTTGAAGCAGCTAAATTTTTTAATAATTATTTTCTTCTTTTTCGTTTAATTTGCTGTGTACTTACCCATATTTTTTAATAAACACACGTTTATCTACTTGCGCAGAGAAGAAAAAAAAAAGAACTAATTGATCTAGAAATAAAGAAGAAAAAAACTAATTTTCCGATAAACAAAGTTTATTACAAATACAGAAACACGTGAAAAAAAAATGTTTTTTTTTTATTTAATCTCATATTTATTTGTAAGTTCAAGAGCATAGTCCAGTGCATGAAGATGAACAAAAATAACACGAATTTGACGAATATTTTCTCTACAAATAATTGGAAAGAAAGAAAATAATATAAAATGATAAAAATTCTTTTGTTCTTGTTTTTCCTTACTTATACATTTTTATATCTTTATCATTTGCACTAAAAATTTGTGTTGAATATTCTTGTGCAAGTTGTTTTAAAAATAGACAAAAGTTTTCTAATGCTGGTAATGTTGTATCTGCTAATTGATTTTGAAGAATTATTTTATTATTATCAAACCATTGTTTTATTGGAAAACATTTTGCTAATAAAAGACAACGTGTTATCATTTCATTTGATGTTAAATCCATATTTTTTAATGCTACTAATATATAACGATTTAAAAGGCCATCAATTGATAAATCGAGTATAGCTTTTAATGAAAGAATTTGTGACCATAATGTTATATTACCTAATAATTTAACACATATCCAATATTGACGAAAGAAAAATTCTGTTGCTATTATTGCTGAATTATTTGATGATGTTCTTGATGAACCAAGAGCAATAATTTCTTTTGGATATAATGGTATATAAATATCATCATCTAATGAACGTTGTAAACGATCAACAATAGCTTTGAGTAAGTTCTGAAAAACGAAAAAAGAAAAAGAAATATTTGAGATAAGATTTAGATTTAGATTTTTTGTATTTTTACTTGAACATTTTTACTATCATCAGTCATTGTTGGATATGTTTGAAATATATTTTCAATTGTTTTAACAAGATTTGTTGTTTGTTTTAATGATAATGGATCGTATATATTTTCAATGATAACTAAATCAATCAAGACGAATATATTTAGTGTATAGAAACAAATGTTATAGGAGAAATTTTAATTTCAGTCTTCTCTATGACGAAAAAAACTATAGGGTATCAGTGTGGATTTTCGGTTCACACAGATTTAGATCCCATAGTTTTTATTTGCCATAGAGAAGATTAAACTTTTAATTTTGTCTGTAATATATACATTTAAAAAAGTAGATTATCCATGTTCAATCGTAAGAAAAAGACTTGTGAACATTTGTTATTCTCTATATTTCATTATGATGTTTAGAATTCCGTAGAAGATTTAATAGCATTTTTTTTAGTGTGACACACTACGGTAATAACCTAGATCAAGTTTACTATGAAAAAATTTCCGTTTTTTTCAAGAATAATACTTGATTATAGCATAGACGATGTAAAGCTTTGATTATTCTAAGGTAAGCTCAACATTTTTTTTTATAACATCCTCATCTGGAAATTAAAAATGAGAGAAGATTAGTTTTTTCATACCACTTAATACTGCTTTTATCGAACTCATATTTAGCAACGTGTAATAATAGTAGAGATTAGAAAAAAAATTCGTAACTTGCGTAAGAAAAACGTGCATTTAAAGAAACATGCGAACATTTATGTTCATGAAAACGCGACTTTTGAAAGAAGCAATTTCAATCTGCTTTATCGAATGGTGAAGTAAAAATGTTTTACAAAAGAAAAGATGTTGCATTGTGAGGTATTTCATTGTGAAAAGTGTATAATAGAAATATAATCTTAGTCGCTGAAGACGAAAGAAATTTTGGGTAAATTTCAGTAAATGTTACTCAGATTTTTTTATACAATTCTTCCTCACTTGTAATAAAGAATCTCTATTTCAACTCATTGACGATATATGATTCAATATTTACTTGTACAAAGCGCAATATTTTCTCACAAACATTTTCTAAGTCTATTTGATTGAAAATATGTTATTATTAGCTGCCCGAGGTGGCGAAAAATATTGACGTTTGTACAAAAAAACAAATATGATGCGCTGTTCATATCTATCAATCTCATGGAAGTAGAAAAGTGTTTAATCTCATTCTAGCCTATGAAGCGTGAATCTAGGGTAGACTTTCGCTTTCTTAAATCTTATTGTTCCGCCATCTACGAATTATAATAGAAAATATAGCTCTCGAATAGTCTTTAGAGTAAAAAGTACGGTAAAATGTGTCCTGAAAAATAGCTATATATAGATTTAGCTATTTCATACTAATACAAAAGCTATATATATATATATTCCTTTTTTCTTATCAGCATAATAATCTATTGATTTTTTATTACTTTTCCGAAACATGAACGAACTATGTTTATTATTTCTTCTTGAATAGAAAATGAATTCTAGAACTCTATTTTACCCATATTCAACTGTTAATCAAATGGAAAGAAATATTTTTTTTTAAATGATCACAAACATTAAAGACTAATTGTACTTTTACAAGCAAAACTCCTATAATCTTACAAGTCTTGAACACATAATCAATAAAAGCAATATATAATTCTTTTGAAGAGTACATCTAATCATCAAGTGTCACAAGTTCTATTAGGTCAACTTGTTCCGTAAGTACCCATTTCATGGAAAGACATTCATGAATATACAATAGAATAGCATTTTTTCTTTTTCTGCCCTAAAACTCTACATAAAATCTACATTAATTACTTATTGATGTTCTTTTCTTTACGATAGATCTATTATGGATGATGCAAAAAAATTTCTTTAAAAAAATCTAAGTCTCATAGGAGAATTTTTCGACAGCGGAAATTAAACTTTTTGATTTTTTATGATTTCAACGACTATTTATGAAACTTAAATCTTTGATCTATTAATTCTAAATTTCAATTTTCTGTAATATTAGAAAGATAAGTGTCGAACATTTTTTTTCTTGATTTTACGAAAAAAAAAATTGTTTAATTTTTTCTCACTTGTTAATTTGGGTATGATAACTTTTTCAATAGTTAATGGTATAAGTTGAAAATCTTCATCTTCATTACGTCCGTCTTTTACAGCATAAAATAATAAATCTTGATACCAATTATAATCTTCAAGAGCTCGACAAGATGCCTATGAAAAATAGAATATCAAATTTCTTTTTTCTTCCTCTTTTTATCTTTTAAAGAATTACTTCAAATGGTTTCCAATCAATCATTTCTCGTCGTATTAATGGTGAAAATACTTTTGGTAAACATATTTCAATAAAAGCATCTGTATATGTTTCATTTTGTTGATATTTCCACTGTTCAAATATTGTTTTAATATTTCTATATTGAGAAAATTCATCCGAAACATCATCAAGTAAATGTTCAGCTTCATTGACAATTTCTTCTACAATTAAAAAAAAAAACAAGGAAAAAAATCCTATAATAATAAAATACTTTTTTTGTAATTATATTATTTTACGTTTTTGTTTTAAAAATAAATTAATATCTGATTGATTTTCTTCATCATCTGTTGACATTCCATCAAAATGTTGCGTAGATGTTTGTTCACGATCTTTTCTTCTTCGTAGTCTAAAAGAAAACAACAACAAAATAATTAATTGACTTAAAAAAAAACCATGTAATACCGTCGAGCTTCACGTTCAGTTGTGCGACGTTGCCCTTTTTGATCAAGAACTGTTCGAAAATCATTTGTTGTTAATGTACCATTAATAAATGCTGTTGCTTTCTCTACAAATTAAAAATTTTTTACTAATGTTTTCTTTTTTTAACTCATTAAAATTTACGTATTGAATATTCATGACATTGATCTTTAAAATCTTCTTGTCGACGTGTTACAATCATATCAGTTCTTTGTTTATATAATTGTAACCAACGTTCTTCAAGCTTAATAATAGTTACCATCTAAAATAAAACAGAAACGAATGAATAGATTTAAAAATTGATGTTTTTTGTTTAAATACTTTTTCATTATAGCATTCAAGAAATGAATATATATAAGCACGACAACGTTGATAAAATTGATAAGATTTTTCCATTTGTGGATAATCAATTGTATTTTGTTGTAATGATATTTGACTAGCTTCATATGCTTGGTTTGTTTTTTCATAATCAATTTTATGCTTTTCGTTTAATTCTGTTATTGATTTTAAACTAAAATATTTAAAATAAGAAACAATAAAAATGATTTTTTTTTTCTATTCATTTATTAAATAAAAGTACATACGAATCATGTAAACGATCTCGAATATGATCAAATGTAATATGTGGTAATTCAAGTGGAGGTAATTCTCGTGTTATTTCAACTTCCATTGGTTGTGGTTCAACTAGCGATGATGAAGAATTTTCTGTTTGTGATTGAGAAAGCTGAAATAAAAAATAGAAATATTTTTATTAATCTACATAATAAATTTCAATTCCTTTTAAGCTATTTTATATCAAACTTGTATTGTTATGTCAAGATTTGAAATAGATTATAGATCATTACTATTTTGCTTAGACTTTTTCCTTCTGTGTAAATATCGATAAACGTTTTTTCGATTGTCGAAATGTCACAATTAACATTGCTTTATTTTATCGAAGATCTCTTTTTCAGTAACATTTTCATTTTGTGAAAGCATGATCTGAAAAGAGTTTATACACCAGAAGGTATTTCAAAAGTCTATCGAAATACAAAAAAAGTGAATAACTCTTGAACAGTTCAAGCAATTTGCATGAATTTGCTGTAATTTCGATTGATGTTCGTTTGTCTTATTCAACATAGTTTAAATCAAATGTTTAGCATATAAATATTAGAATCGAAAGAGTATCATTGACGGCGGAATTTCAGTGGCCTACGATTGTAAAATGAACTGTACTAGTCGAATGTGACACAGCAGCGGTAAATGAAGAATGAAGGTAGTATTAAAAAGATCCCTAAAAGCTTTTATAAAACTGATATCTGAGTAGACGAGTCACATTCCGAACGTTCCACACTAACGATAGAATAAGAGGTCAATACAATTAATGTTACTAGTAAAAGTGTAACGGCAGCAAGTGTTTGGTTGGTCGAAATGGTTTTATTTTTCAATAGCGTTTAAAATTATTACGGAACTTAATAAGTGATTCAACAAAGCGCGATGTCCTCGACTTTCGACAATGAAGTACATCAGTCTCTAGACAATACTTCTCGTAATATTCGCATTCAAAGCGGCGGTTCTTTTTGTTGAAATTCACACTCATTGAACTTAGCATCTCTCGAATTCTTTATATGATGTCACACATAAAGCAATGTCTGCAAGATGCATTCTATCTAGTGTTTCATATTTTTTAAATTTCAAAAACAGTAGACTTGCGACTTTTATTTCAATGTAGGCATTATGAACAGCGAGCACAAAGAAAATTATGCAAAAAAAAACTTTAAGGAAAGTCAAATAAAACGACAGAAAGCTCACATGTATGGCTAGAGTTCTTCAAAAGTCATTCACATTCTTTTTCCTGACGAATTTTCAAACATCCTGTACTTCCGTATTTCATTTCCCGAGGATAAAGTAAAAGAATAGTTAATCAATATATCCCAAAATAAATAGAATCTCCCTGTGATTAAGAACATCAGCTATATCGTGTTTCACATTTGAATTCTGTAAGGAATGCACTAACAGCTTTTTTTCTCTCTATATTTTAGGGTTAATATTAAAGAAAGCATAATTTTTAATAATTCTAAATAAATAAGTAAAAATGAAAAGAAAGAGCGTAAGAGGAAATCTTACGACGAATAACACCGACTTGAGATTTGGAAGAAGAGGAAGCCAATGTTTTGATTGCTGACATTGCAGAGATTTTCGAACTAACACCTTTGCGAATTTGTTCATGTTCAAAGCGACGAAATTCTTCTTCATCTTCGTCATTATCACTTCCTATAAACAGAAAAAAGTACAGATTTGTTGTTTGTTTTTTTGTCAATTAATAATAAAATATATTTCTAATGATGACAAACCTTGTTCTAATTCTAAAAATCGATCTCGATTTTTTTGACGTTCATTTTCAGCTCTTGTTTTATTTCTGTCCATATTAACGATATGTGGATCTTCATTACCACTATCATCACTAACATCATTTTCATCATCACTAAATGAAAATTATTCATTCAACTTGGATCAACCAAAAAGAAAAATAATTTTCATACCGTACTAAACGTGATTTTCGATTTGATAATCGATCATTTCCATTTTCAGCAGCAGTATTTAGTGACATATAATCGCCGGGTACACCCATTTCTCGAGCCATTTGACGTCGTTTACGTGCTGCATGTATCATAGTCGAATCAGGAATGACTCCACCTAAGAAAATAATATTATAATACACAATCAATAAATAACACTTAAATAATTTACTTCTTAACATAACTTTAACTGAACGTTGTGTATCATCAAGTGTACTATCATTATCATCATCATTTCCTTCCAAAATTCCTTGAATATCATCTAAATCAGGAATATCTCCTTCTGGTTCATTGAGAACTTTCATTTCTTTTCGAAGACGCTAGAACAAAATAATAATCATAATATTAAAAATATATATACACATATACAGGGTATCTCAAAAGTCACTTCCTTAAAGTTGTTTTTTAATAATAGATCTATAGACCGAATTTTTAATTACACGAGGAAACTGCAGACAACATCTTACAAAACTATCATCTCTAACTAAAATTCTAAAATTTAGCCTTTTTTTATATATCAAAAAACGTTATACAACGATTAGTTTTTAATGACTCCGATTAATTAAATCTTTTTGTACTTTAAATTATTCAGATCATTAATAATAGTCTTATAGACATTTTCTTTTATATATTCCCGTAAAACGAAATCAAATAGTATTAAGTCTAATGAGCGCACAACTGATGAGATCCCTTCATCTATTCTAAACTACTGATCATCAAACTTATTAGTCAAACAATAGAGAACTGTCTTTGAGCAATATACTGATGCGCTATGTTGCTTTAAAGTCACTTTTATAATAAGAAGTAAAAGAAGCTTTGAAGCATGTCAAGGTTATTATGCTAATCAATTGTTGGATCATCAGAAAAGGGATCCAATAATCAGTATGCTTGATATCCCACATCACACACTAAGTTTTATTGAATGCATTACAACTTTAAAGGAGACACAAAAATGGGTTTGAGTCCAAACACGATAACTGTGTTTATTAACAGAAGCAGAAGATAAGCATTTCAATCAAATCCCAAGAAAAATGAATGCAATTCTTATATGTCAACTGAAGATGATAGTTTTGATGGGTGCTTTTGAAGTTTATTCGTGTAAATAAAGACTCAGTTTATTTACCTATTATTTAAAAACAAAGTAGTTAATAAATTTAAATGAAATAGTAAAGATGTACAAAAAGCCTTTTAGAAAGGGACTTTTGAGACGTTTTGTGTACACAAGAAAAGTAAATTACCTGTAAATCAGGATTTGAACTTGAAAATGAATTTGTTGAAGATTTATTTCCAATAATTTGAAGAGGCTTGACTAGAAAAATACAAAATAAAAGAACAGATAAAGAAAAAAAAATTGCTTTTTTTTCATACATTTTATTTCAATTTCTCCAATATTATTATTTTCTTCTTTATGTGTTATTGTTTCTTCAACAACTTTTGTCGTTGTTGTTATTTGTTGTATAACTACATTCGGTTTTGAATCAATCGATGAACTTTGCAATTGTTGTTGTTTTTTAACTTCTTTTGCCATTTTACGACTTTCACGTGTTTTATTAACTTTAAATTCTTCTGTATCACCTATTTTGTTTTAAATAAAATAATAATTGATTATATATACAGTACAACCCTCTATAGTGAATATCGTTCGATCTTTTCAAAAGTGTTCACTATAAGAAACTTAGATATTTTCTCAAAGCAGTTTGTTTTTGCAGGGAAAAAAAATTCAACTGTTGGTCATTGCTAGTTGTCTTTTCATGCAATTTTGTTCTTCAAAAAATTAAGAATTATTAAAACGAACTAAAATCTTCCTATTACGGACGCAATAATAACTTTTCAAAAGTATTCATCATAGAACTATATGACGATGTCCACTATAGAGACGTGTTCGCTATGGGAAGTTTTCTTGTGTGCAAAAAAAAGAAATTTCTATTTCTAAATATTTACCTTCATCATCACCAAAACTTAATAACGATTTTGGTACTTCTGTTTTCTGGATCACAGTTTTTGTTGTTACCGTCTGTTGTTGTATAACAGTCGATTGAGTATTTGAAACATTTGATTGATCATCTTCAGTGTTCTCGATATCTGTTCGACCGCGTAAACTGCGTTGCATTGGCTTTCGAAACATCTGAAAATAATCAATAGATTTATTCAACCGATTACATGTATTAAAGAAAAAACAGAATGTCAATCTATAGAAATAAGTAAATAGATGGAAAAGACAAATGAGACAGCAGCCATAGTTAATCAAAGGGTAAAATCGGGAAAGCTTTGTCATCACTAAGAAAATTATTTTTTTATATTAAAAATCATTTTTCGAAATTCTTATATGACGTTTGATGAACAACAAAAAGAGAGAATTATCGAAAATTATCTCTCAATTTCGTAAGTTTATTTAATATGAATGGTTAATAGATAAACCAATGAAAATATTTCAATGAATCATAATTGATTCCTTTTTGTGTTTTAATGTGGAAAATTTAAAAAAAATTTCTTTGTATTGAATTTCTATCTATTTGCAAATATGTCAGATCAGCGTCGATCAAGTTCTCGGAAATGTGTTATAAAACGTCAATTACCTTCTAATTCTTTGTTAGCAATTTCAACTCAAATAAAAAATGATATTGAAACAATAAAAAAATCTCGTAAAATAAATAATAAAAAATTATTTGATACAACTGTAAGTTAACAAACAAAACAAAATTAAAATAGACTTCGAAGACTTTATTAAATGTTTTAAGGTATTAACTACACATCATGAATCTTCCGATGTCCACAACACTTTAACTACAAAAACAGCTAATAAACGAACTCGATTAGATTCTGTAGCATCCAATAAATCAAATCAAAAGAAAAAAAAAGAAATTCTTTATGATGATGATGATGATGATATTGAAGAGATGCCATTAGAAAAAAAATCTATCGAAAAAATAGGTTAATACATATCGAATGAAAATATTTAATGAACTTTTATTTGTTTCTATAGAAATAGATCGATGTGCTATTTGTTTGGATGATTGCACGGAACCAAAACAACTTGATAAATGTAGTCATATATTTTGTAGAACTTGTATTGATCATTATTTTGAAACAGTTAAACCTCAATGCCCATGTTGTTTTACTATTTATGGAGAAATTCGAGGTACAATTTGATCATGTATATCTTTTTTTTTGCTATTTTTTTTTATTATAGGAAATCAACCAGCTAGTGGTACAATGACTATTGATACATCTAAACATCGTTTACCCGGTTTTGAACATGATTCACGTGGTACCATAAGAATAACTTATCACTTTCCTCATGGAGTTCAAGATGTAAGATTTTATAAATAAAATGAATAGTTGATTTCAGGAATGTGCCAATTGTAATTCTTAGAATTTAGTAGGGATAGAAAATTACTGGGTAACGGAAAATTTCTGTATTTGATTCTTTCGCGTCAAGAAAAGACTATTTTGTGAAGGCAACGATTTTTTTTAGAAAACTTAATGGAAAATGTTTGGAATAGAAGTTGCTTGAGAGAGAAATGAAGTACATAGTTTCGAGAAACTGAATTTCTTTGCTTCAGCTTTATCGAAAATCGCTATTTTCACAAAATAACCTTTCTTCGACGAAAGAATCAAATCCAGGAATTTTTCTTTAGGTCGGCAACTGCTCTACCCTAGAAGTAGTCTTAAAAAAAATGGAATGAAATTATTAATTTATGTAAATATATACAAAATTAGTAATTCTGTAAAAACTAATTTCAAGTTAAGAATTGGAATTGGTGCATCCATAGTTAATTTTGTTATTTTTTTTTCTTGTGTCTAAGGAAAGTCATCCTAATCCTGGTATGCCATATTACGGAACAACTCGTCAAGCTTTTTTACCTGATAATCGTGATGGTCGTCATATACTTGAATTATTACAGAGAGCTTTTGAATTGCGACAAATTTTTACTATCGGTCAATCTCGAACAACAGGTTATGATAATGTCATAACATGGAATGATATTCATCATAAAACAAATATTCATGGCGGAGTAGAAAAGTAAGTTTTTCATCTATATTTATATACAGATAATTTCAGATCTATTTATCGGATCAATTCGAAATATCTTTTCGATTTTATCTATTGTTTGCTCAATTAATTTTTTTTTCGAATGTTTCTTTTTTAGTTTTGGTTATCCGGACAAAACTTATCTTAATCGGTAAATAAAATCAATTAAAATTTTATTGAATAAACATTTTTTTTTTGTGTTTTGATTGTCTAGAGTGAAACAAGAATTAGCAGCTAAAGGAATTAAATAAGTGATTCATCTTCAATGTCTTTTATAATATATTTAAACTTATAAAAGTATCGTCTGATATGATATTGTCAAAACACATACTCAAAACTGATTTCTATCGATTATTATATAAACTTGTTGTATAGCGAACTTATTCTTCTATTTTTTATACGATGATTAATTAAAGAGTGTGTATTGATCAGCTTTCTTTTTTTGTTCTGTTTGTGTGGATTTGTTGATATACTTCTATATATTCTTTTTTTCTTCTGAAACAACGTTCAATATGGATCAGTTAAAAACTGAATGACGAAAAAAGAAAAATACATGAAAATTCTTATGTCTTAAACAATCTTTTTTCTAATCATAATTCATTTACTACGCTAATGGACACAAACTATAACAAGGATAAAGACATTTTATTATAAGAATTTTAAAAAAAGCATAAAAACGGCAAGAAAAGTGAAATAGAAGAAAAGAGTATCACATGTTATCATGTTTCATGTCACAAGACATGAATGAAACAATAAATCATCAAATCTAAGAGATATTCAAGTGAAAAGAAAGCAAGGATAGTCGTGTTAAAATAACTAAAAGACACTGACGGAGACACCCAATTTTTTTCTTTTAGTTGACTTGGTTTTCGATGGATAGTAGATGTGCACCAGTGCCAGCAACTGGGTCCCAGTCGAACTGGTATCCAGTCATGACTGGGTACTTAGTCATTTGATGTTTATTCTGCTAATCGAACAGTACTTCCCTCTTTTCTAATATATTGTAATGCATTGATTCTCAGGTTCATAAAATACTGATTTAAGCAATAATATTGAATTGATTGAGTATTCTTATATTTCTATGTACCAATCATTATAACGTAGAATATTATTAATAAATTCCAGCAGTATTAGTAATTCACATTAGACAACACAGGAAGAAGTTCTTCTATTTTGCAAAATTAAATATATTTATAAATATATGATATATTTCTCGCTAAGTCGATAGACATTTCTCTCTCCCTCTCTCCTGACGTCCAGTCATGCATTCAAATAACATAAAATCTGNAGTAAATCAAGGTGCAGAGTTCAAACTTGAGTTGTATTCCGTCCCATATCCTATTGGTTTGGCAACGGGCAATATAAATCAACATTTTAAATGGTAGATTTCACAGTATAATTTTGATATTCAGACAGTCTAGGATGATTGATTTGTATGATTCACTTTTTGAAGTACACATAACTCTCGGATTTAAATCCGAAGTTTCCGCATTTATTTTCTTTTACATTTAAATAGTGAAGTGAAATCATCATCATCATTTATGGCCGATCTTGAACGCGATGATTCATGTGCTTTATATCTTCTTGAACAAATGCCTCATATTCTTACATTCAAAGATGTACGTATTTTAAAATTTATTTCAAAAAAAAAGAAAAGAAAAAAGAATTCATTGAAGAACTATATAAACAAGTTCAAAATCTATTGTACTAAAGGAAATCGAGTATTTTTTGTGACTAATATTCTTATATTTTGTTCTTTTGTTTTCGAATATAATAATAGTTATTTCGTTAATTGTATTTATATTTAGCGTGTTAAAATTCTTCAAATGTTTATTGAGCATGATAAAGAAAAAGAATCTACTGAAGTCTCATCATTACGGCATCATTTAAAAAATTATTATGAAATTCGTCGAACGAATCTATTTGGTGTAAGTAGCAAATTCTTCTTCTAAAAATATAACCAACATTTTACAAGTTTTCTTTATTTTTTAAATGTTGATTTATTTAAGGATGCTTTTCACTCATTAAAAAGTGCATCATCAACAATATGGAAAAATACAATTCGTATAAGTTTTATCAATCAACAAGGTCTTGCTGAGGCTGGTATTGATCAAAATGGAATATTTAAAGAATTCATTCAAGAAGTCACACGACAAGCATTTGATCCAGCATTTAATCTTTTTAAAGTATTGATTTCATTTAATTTAGTTCTAAAATTCTTTTATTATTATTTAGGTAACAGAAAATCGAACATTATATCCATCACCAATATCTGATCGAACAGAAAATTATTTGTATCTTTTTAATTTTATTGGTAAAATCTTAGGTAAAGCTGTTTATGAACAAATTGTTTTGGATATTGAATTAGCACCATTCTTTTTACGTCATTTAATATCTCGAAAAAATCTTAATTATTCATGCTTTGATGATTTAATGTTTCTTGATAGAGACCTTTATAATAATCTTAATTTTGTTAAAGTAAATTAAAAAATAAATTAAAAAAAAATTCAATTTCTTTTTTTTTAAAGCATTATGATGGTGATGTATCATCATTAACGTTAACATATTCAATTGATGAAGATGTACTTGGTGAAATGGTAACATATGATATTATCCCCTGTGGAAGACATATTAATGTAACGAATGATGATAAGTATGTGCAAAAATTGTTTCTTCTTTTTTATTTTGTGGAACTCACATCACGTTCTTCGAAGAAAAATATAGTGAATGTAACTTGTAAATCAAAGTTTTGCAGCTCCTCTTCCTCATCTCTACACATCTTAGGAAATGGGATCAAAGGTCATTGAACATGTTTCCATAGAAAGGAACAGAGTACGGAGAGAAAAGTCAACAGTCATTGATTATATTTCCATGGGAATCGAGGAGAACAGACGGCAGACTCTTTTTCTAGAGTTTCTTAGCAATGTAAAAAGGTGTTGAATGGCAATAACAATAAGACTTAGACTACTAGAGAACATATTTCAAAGCTTTTTTCAAAATGTAAATGACTGAAATACGTTTGTGAATGTTCTAAATAGTGCAGTTTGTAATTTGTGTGCCGATAAAAATTTATAGTCAAGATGTCAAGGATGATAGATAGTCATAGATTGTTCTACTACAGTCATCATATGATCAATGTAAGAAGGGAGAACTGATTAGATTATAACTTCAGGAAATAATTAATATCCGTGTTTCTCAGTTTATTGAGATATATAATAGTACCTTGAGATCTGATCTAGATATAATGGATATTTACAACAGGCTTAGTTGTCCATTAAATCAATGTTTATAAGTATAATAATGTTAAATTAACCAAATCGGAATATGAAAGAGAAAAATAACAAGCAGATAGTAACAAAGAAAACAAAAAATATCGGAACAGTAGAGACAAAACACTGTTCAAAATGTCGACATCAATAAGATAAATTGTTTTCTTGGTGATCGATTATCCCTGGAAAACAATTATAGTCTGCTAGAGATTGTTCATTTAAATTTATTTTGTATTAGTATAATAGTGCTAAGGAACACATGTGAGTTTCACATTTCAACTCCAACAGGGTTGTGCTGACAAGTTGTTTTTTTATTTCAACAATTTGTTTAATTTGTAGAATTATTTATATTCATCGAATGTCTGTTTATCGAACATATACACGTATTAAAAATCAAATAAAAATGTTTACTGAAGGATTTAAAACATTAATGAAACCAGAATGGATTAATATGTTCTCTGTTCCAGAGTTACAGCAATTAATATCTGGTGAATTATCTGATATTGATCTTGAGGATCTCAAGTTTGTTTTTGTTGTTATATTTTGGAATAAGAATAGAAAATATTGTTTTTTTTTTTTGGAATGTTAGATCAAATATTGTTTATCAAGGTGGTTATCATCGAACACATCCAGTTATTAAATGGCTTTGGCAAACACTAGAACAAGATTTTTCAAGAGAAGAGCGAGCACTTTTTCTTCGAGTTTGTTTAATTTCTTTTTATTTACTAATTATGATTTGTTTATGTATTTTTAGTTTGTAACAAGTTCAAGTCGTGCACCACTTCTTGGATTTCGTTCATTGAATCCACCATTTACAATCCGTTGTTTAGAAAGTTCAGAGCATGAAGTAAAATTTAATATTAATTAAATGTATTTCATTTTAAGTTTTCTATATCGAAATTTTAGGAAGAAGGTGAGTCATTAGGAAGAATATTTCGTAATATGGTAACTATTAATCGAACATCATCGGAAAGACTTCCATCTAGTTCAACATGTTTTAATTTATTAAAGTGAGTTTTATAAATTAATCTTATTTAATAATTATATTCAACCTTTCTTTTAAAAAGATTACCCAATTATAAAACACGACGAATACTTTCGGATAAATTACGATATGCCATTAAAGCAAATGCCGGTTTTGAACTGTCTTAAATTTCTTTTTTCTTGCATATAAATTGAATAAAAGAATAAAATCTATTAATTATTATTAAATTGATATAAAAAGCTCGGCTTTATCGAAACGAAGATCATTAAGATTCCACTTCCTCAAAAAAGTCGACATGGAAATAGATTCATGAAAAGTTAGCCCGATATCTGATCTTGAAGAAAAAAGATGGTTTTTAATTCAATACCAAATTTTTTCGACAAAAGTTTTTTTTTTAATGATTTTCATCATCTTATGCATAAAAAAATAAGCATTTTAATTGAACATAAGAACATTTAAAAGGTGTATGAGTTTGGATTCTTTCTTCACTGACATCTCATACATTCTCTAAAGAACATAAAATGTTCATGATGAATTTAATTTATCATGAAAAGAAACTAAAGTAACATATAACTGATCGTTTTAGAACATTTTCGATCAGATTCATTATTTCTCTGACTGAAGGAAAGATGGTATGAAATAAAATGGGTGTGCTTACACGTGTGCACATATATTTGTGATCATCTTGAGCGAATAGCTATTTGCAATGAACTTTTTTCATTCCGATAATCCAGTCAATCATGGGATTTCGTCATTGACGTCGCATCTAATGAATGCAATGTTTTCACTATCTAGTCTCGTCCAATTATACGTTCTCACTTTCTAGTTTTCGTTGAATCAAGTCTTCTGATGCTCAGTCTAGTCAACCAGATTCTTTCGCTATCCAGCTCTCGACTAATCCGTTTTTGTTGTGGTAGGCATTTTAGCCTATCAGATGTTTTCGGTATCCAAATTTCGTTCAATCATTTTTTTCTAACTGACAATTATATCAATCATATGTGAGAAGTAGATGGAAGTGTGAAGTGTTGCCGTGCTAATATGAGTGTAAGCCTGGATGCTGGGGTGCGAGGTGAAAATAGCTGAGGTTTATGTATGAGGTCCAGGTGTGACCGTTAGTTTGCGTGCGGGTATGGGTTTTTGATTCTGTTGTTGGAAGGTGGCTTACCCAAGCAGTCAAACTTTTGAAAAAAAAAACGTTTTTCCAAAAGTTTGTCTGGTATGCTATGGTTTTTGAATTTGCTTGTGTGTGCATACCTGTGTGGGTCTGTTAGTGTGATTGCCGGGTGTTTTGTATATATTATATGTATAGGTGTTGAGGAATGTATGTTTGGATTAGTGTAGTGTGCAAGTATAGCGGTCGGTAACTATAGATATGAATGTGTGAGTATGACTGTGATTATTTGAATAATGATGAGAAGCGCTATACTGCACGCACATTGACACTATAGCTGATAGTAACATATACATTCGAGTCGTAGCAACAAACATTACTTGTCCAATTCACAGTCCACTTCAAAGAGATTATTCAAATAAGTATTTAATGTACTTGTATCTATATTGTCTCGATGCTATGACACTTTGGTATTCTGAATCTTAACTCATCTTCATATCGCTCTAAACGGATAATGTTAACAGCTCTTTCTCAGTGAGAAAACGTGAAAACACGTGAACTTTACGGTAATAAACAGTGTAGATACAGATCATGAGTTAATCTGTATTTATAGTGTTTGTTCCAACGAAGAAATACAGTCGATATTTTAATAATAGCATGAATAGTTAGTATACAATCTATTCACCGTACATTACGACTATTCAAATCAATCTTTAAAGTATTCGTAAATGAACTGTGCTTACATCGTTTTCACATCATAAACCATGTGAAATACGGTATAATTTCATGATATATAGACGAGCGTTGTTCAAAACATTTTTAAAAAATGATCGTCTCTATGACAATTCTTTTACAAGTGCCTCTTATCTATATGAATGCTCAAAAATAAGAATCGAAAAGTCATTCAAATAAAAACTTATTGAAAGAATCAATAACAAATGATATTAAGTTCTATCATGATAATACAAAAATAAGTAGCTCTTCATTAATCTTCGAAATGAATATACATGTTTTCCATATTAGAGTGTTTGTTTTTTGATAATCTGAGTATCATGTTTATTCAAAAGTTTTCTAATCCATGTAACATATCTTTAACGTATACATGAATAGATCTAAACGGATCATGTCTAAAATTAGCTATTTCCTATTTCAATCGCTTTTCCTAATGAAATGAACATAAGCCAAATCTATCAGAAAGATTCTTTAATTTGTTTTATATTTAAATATTTGTCGACGATATTTATAATTATGAAAAATATTAAATGATTGAGTAAGACTTGGTAAAATAATCGCTATTGAAATTGAACCATACCAAACACCAACAATAGCAAATGTATAAGATAAAAATTGATATTCTGCAATATCAGAATAACCAACAGTTGCTATAACTGTAAATCCCTTTTAAATAAAAAAAAAACATTATTTTTAACTTTAATTAAATAAAATAATTTATTTGATATTTACATGCCATAATGCTTCACCAATATTTTTAATTTCATTATCTTGATGTAGTTGTTCAAGAACAAATTGTGTTAAACCAAAATAAAATATTCCAAATATAATTAAAATTGTTAACGTAATAATATCTTTTAAATTAATATATAAAACTTTAATAAGTATTTCTAAACACTTTGCATGACGAGTTAAACGAAATACACGAAATAATTTAAAACATGTTAAATAATCAAATACTTGAGTTTCTTTTAATGTTAATAGATTTTCTTCTTTATTTTCTAAAATATAAAATCGATAAAATATTTGACTTAATATTGTTGGTAATATAGATAAGATATCTAATGCAAAACTTGGATCATTTATAAGATGTATAAATGAAGATACGGATAACGTACGAATAAGTAACTCAAAATAAAACCTATAAAAAAGAAAAAGAGAAAAAAAAAATAAACTTCTTTTTAAGCAAAGAAATTTTTATTTGATATTCTATTCTGTTCGATTCTTTTTTTTGCCGACACTAACCATGTAATACAAAGAATTTCTAATGTTGTATTTTCTGAATTGAAATAAGGTATAAATTGATAAGGACGTAAACTTATATCTGAACATTTAAAACCTTCTGTACGATTAAGAGGTTTTGATGGATGCGTTATTATCCACATTGTATTATGAAAATTTCGATAAATACTCATTGTTTCTAAACATAAAGAATAAATTGCTAAAGCATTAAATACAGCAGATAAAATATTAAATAAAGAATTTAAATAATTAATAGGTGGATGATAAAATGTTTGATATAATGTTTTTTTCAAGTAAGAATTTGGTTCAATATGATTATCTTCATTTATTGATATATGATCATTATAAAATTTTTGAATTAATTTGTCACTTAATTGAAAAAATCGAATTTCTTCATAAAATATTATTGCTGGTATTGTTTCAGCTTTAATTAAAACACCATCATTTATATAATAATATAAAATAGATTCAAACGAACTTGGATGACGTGGAAAAAAATAATCACTTGTACCTGGTACAAGATAACGTGCACGTTTTAATGGATCACCCAGAACTGTATCAGGAAAATTGATTAGATCAGATACATTTATTTCATAATGTGTACCAGATATATCTATTGTTAAACGATCATCTTCATTTTCGAAAAATGTTGTCATTGATAAAAGACGATCTAGAGCATCTTTTGCCCAACCGTCCATTATTTTAAAATAGTTATCTCAATTAATAATTGCGCGCTTTTGAGTTTATTTCTTAATTAATTTGTTATAATAATTACAATTAGAAAATAGAGTAATAACTGATGAATACGATAGACATGAGCAAATGAAAAAGTTTATTTCAATCAAGAAAATTATATATTTATAGAAGAAATTCTCCAAAAATAAACATTAGTATGTGCAAATGATGAAAAATCAAAGATCTTACTCAGGAAGTTTATTTTTATTAATCTACAGATTTAGATGTGATAACAATAGGACAAAAACTTGAATGCATCATCAAATGATTCTACCAGAAGTAGATTTACGAGTGACAAAACAATGATTTCACCTTTTAACAAAATTGTTCACATCAAATGGACTTTGAAAACCATTTTTTTTTAACCATGAATGCCATCTGCGTTGACAAACTGTCATATACTCGTTGATTTAGTTTCACAGTGGTGATGAAGAGACTGAAATGATATGGGATCATATTGGGAACTACCAATTTAAAAGAAAATGAAGTGTTTTTAGGATATCTATTGTCTACAATTGATATAATAGATCTATAGACATGAAGATTATCAATATTGTTGCAGGTTCCATTAATCTTGAGTTTGCAGAAACGATTTTTCTGAATGAGTAGAAATATTTTGAATTGATATCTGATTTCTCAGTAGAACGAAGCAAAATCTAGCATGCCTATTTGAGATAACTTTTTTCAACTTGATTTCTACAATTTTTCGTAAATTCTGCAGTCTCATAATGATCAATCTTTTTCCTCCTCAAAATTCAACCAAGACTGGCGAAAAGTATGAAATCCTGAGTTAGAGCCATTTAAGGACACTCCAGTTAAACATGATCATAAATACACTACTGGCCATAAGTCCCTGGATGTGTGACACTTCCTCATAACTTCAACAATTTTCCACAAAATTTTTACCAGAGATAGAGCTTAAAAAACTGTGATCGCAAGCACCAACCTGAGCTCTATCGACTGATATAGTATGGAGTTATGATTCAAACATTAGTTTCACGTCTGTTTACTTGTATATCAATATTCACAGTTTTTATGGAAAAACAATCGCGATGCTAGAAGACTTGTTTAATCTCTAAGTTGTTTCTTAGCTCGTTAATATTAGTCTACTATTCTCCAGAGATGCCTTTATTGAGCAATAAATGCCCACTGCGTATTCCTGTAACAACTAACGAAACAACCTAAAGATTAAACAAGACCTCTAGTATCTCGA